TAAAGAGGGTCACTAACCTGCTTGTAACAATGGATATAAGACTTACTCTATTGAAAAGATTGTTAAAAACAAATTACTACACAGCAATAACCTTCCTAGTACCAACAATCAAGATAACGACATCATCTTGTATTACAGAAATCACATGTCAACAGCATACAAGGTAGATGAAGCTATTCTTAAGCATATCATCAATAAAAATGTCACACCAACCAACCCAAATAGTAAAGTTAAACTCCGAATTTATTACAATAAAAAGATGTCTCACCTAATACTGAAAAACAACTGCAGTCCTAGAGATAACTCTGAGTTAAAGAAGGCTTACGATGCATAAACAGAGTGGTGCTATCAAATCTCATTTGGACTCAACACACTCAATCACAATTAGCCGTGAAATCCTCGACAGCAACACCAAAGTAATATACCAGAACAGCAACTACACGCATCTTAAAATTGCAGAAGCAGTCCTAATCGACATCAATAAACCAAAAATAAATATACAACAAAAAATGACAACCTCACTTCCAACCCGGCGCTTAACTAACAACGAATTATTAACATCGTATTATTATACTTTCAACATCGTATTATTAGTTTCTCTTCTATTCCTGCATTTCGCATTGCCTGCCAGAGTTCTTCATGCCATACTGAGTCAAAAGCTTGTTTATAATCTAAAAAATTTATAAAACAGGTTTTGTTTGTATCAATATACTTGTAAGTAATTGACCAATAGTGCTTATGCCCTTTCAGTGTTGACCTTGCCAGGTGTGCTTAACAATGTTATCCCTCTGTAGTTTTTATAATCTGTCTTGTCACCTTTCTGCTTATATATATATGAACAATTTCAGTCCGCAGGTATCATCTCTTGGTGGAATATTTTTTGTATTTATTTATTGTTTTCCTCCCCACATTAAGCATTTCTGCGCTTATTTAATCTACACCTGGTGCCTTATTTTTTCGGTTCTTTTATGGCTTTTTCTGCTTCTTTTTCTAGAAAGTTTTCTATCCATGTTTAGTTTTCTGTCCATGTTTAGTTTTCCATATTTAGAATTTCCTGAAATTTTTTTGGAATGTTATATAATTATATATATATAATATATATATACTTTTACCCCAAATCGACAAACAATATATCAAATACGGATATATCAAAGAAAAATAGAGAATTTTTACCACTTGACTGGGAGCTTTAATTCTTATTCTAAAAATTATGCCTAAACTTCTGGAAATTTTATTTTTGATGTAAAGAATGTGATCATTCCACGGCATATCACTGTTGATTACAACTCCCAAAAATTTAATAGTTGAGACACGCTTTATTGGAGAATTATTTATAAGAACAGAGGTAATTAGTTTATTTAAATGAAGTTTATTTTTAATCAGTCAATCTGCGACCTAATGCAGTTCCTCGTTCACACCTTCGTTTACACCTTCGGCGTGATGGTCTAATGGTTAAGGTCGCCTGGTGCTGTTTCGCAGTAACCGGGTTCGAATGTGACATAAAGATACCCGCCTATCACATGCTTTGTGTGTGAATGCGTCTTTTAGCGCGTATTCATTTACGATGTTTGTGTGCTCTGTTGAATCCTCTAAACTTTGGAAAAGTGTAATTGACCTTTAACCTTTTTTTTGATATAATATATATAATGACTGTTTGTGCTGTGTTGCTCTTACAGACTTTGTATACGAACTGAGATACTTACTATCGTAAACATTATTGTTTTGTGCTGGATTAACTCTACAGACTTGTGAAACAAACTTAAATATTATCGTCATGGCTAAATCTCATTCTGCGGAGTCATTTGATAATATGATCTCTAAAGTTTTAGAAAAATCCAATGATAATGTGATGAAACTAATTGACAAGTTAATGGACAGATCAAATGAAAGTCTTGAAAAAATAATTATTCTGTCCAACAACAACCTGGAAAAACTGTTTGACAAATTCGACTCAAATGTTACAAAATTAATTGAAAAGTCAAATGAAAATGTGAGAAAATCATTGGCTCATTCAGAAAATATATTGAGTAAACTTTTCGAATCAACTGTCATTCGTATGGAGGCTCTCGGCAACAGTTTCGAGCGAGCAGTCAAAAGTATGTCGGAGGCCGTAACTGAGTCAATGGGCCAACTTCTTACAACAGTGGCTGCTCTGAGTACCAGTGTTTCAGAGTGCCAAAAACAGGTCTTAAAAATGAATGAAACTCCCTTGATTGAATCAATGACCAGGGCCCTATGGGCGGTTGATCAGGAGCGTAAAGACGAGGAACGACGAGCCAGCAATGTCATTATCTCTGGCATGGATATGCAGCCCGGAATCAACGATAAAGACGCTGTTTCTACATTATGCGAGAATTATCTGACACTTAAACCGCAGATTGTCAAAACACGTCGAATCAACAACAAAAAGGTCTGTGTAACTCTATCAAGTCCTCAAACAGTTGATGACTTGATATCATCATCAAAACTATTGCGTTCATCGCCGAACACCAAACATATCTTCATCAACCAGGACCTTTCAAAACGACAAGCCGAGCAGGCCTTTCGTAAACGCCAGGAACGACGTCTTGCAAGACCAAATCAGATATCCAGCGGCGTGCAGCCCTTTCGTTCCACGTAATATGAACCGGACACTTCGTATGTCTCTAGCAAATGTTAGAAGTTTGCAGAATAAAAAGAATGACCTTAATTTATTTTTGTCAGAATACGACCCTGACATTTTTTCTGTTATTGAAACATGGCTTTCACCAGAAGATCGTGATGAGTTAATACTACCTCCTGGTTTTTGTTTTGTTAGAAAAGACCGTGGAACACGTGGTGGTGGAGTGGCTTTTGTCATTAAAAGCTCGGTTCATTACAAGGTCGTGAAAACACCAACAAAATACTCTCACATCGAAATAATCTCAATTGATGTTTTTTCTTCATCGACAACATATCGTTTCATCTCCTACTACCGCAGTGGTGGATTTGACAATTTGGCTGTCGACTATGCCATTGATAGCACACAATGCATCAGGGAGCTATGCAACGGTAATGTTAACTGCCTACTGGGCTATTTCAACCTACCGCTTATTGATTGGAATAACTATTCATCGCCAGATAACGCAATTTATAATTGTTTCATTGAACTTTTTAACGATCTTGGCCTGCATCAACTGGTGGACCAACCTACACGAGGTCAGAACATTTTGGACCTGGTTCTTTCTGACGATGCCAGCTTACTAGCCGAACTGGAAGTTTCCTGCCCATTTGCTTCAAGTGATCATTGCTGTGTTAATTTTACAATCAACTGTTTTAGCAACAATTCGACCAACAACAATCCCCACAACAGAACATTTTTTTACGATTTCAACAGAGCAAACTACACTGTCCTGAATGATTATTTGTCAACAATAGATTGGGATTGCCATTTGTTTTGATGTTATTGCCTGTTGGAATATATTCGAACAAATAATCAACCATGCCATTTCAACCTTTGTTCCTTTGATTGGTCGGAATAGTTTACCGCCCAAGCGTTCAGTACCCAAGCCACTTCGTCAATCATACCAAGTCAAACTCCATTTTTGGGAAAAAATGGAAACGAAGTTCAAATTCAGAGGACAGAGATCTCTACCTATCTACGTCTAAAAAATGTT